AAGTTATATTTGGGAAAATCTATTTGGTCCTGTTGTTATAGGCTGACAAGTTTTTTCATAAGCCCTAAAAGTAGGGAGGAAGCATTTATATAACAATGCAGACAATTATGATAAAGATAAAAGAGCAACCCTAAATAACTTATACTTAATGTTGATGGCAAGTAAATKTTTGCTAGGTTTMTTGTCATTCGCAGGCTTAAACCTYCCGGAATGRATWATCAAAGGAGTACTYTCGGTYGCAGGAAGTCTRTCAGGAACAGAAGGTGAATCTAGGTCATAAAAYGTGTCACTGTCGGAGTTCCCTTCRTCTGCTGTCAAATATCTCGTSGAGTTACTTCGAGATAGAACGCTTCTGCTGGTGCATGTACTTGATGGAGATGAATCCAGTCTCCTTTCTTCGTCCATYGACTTCGCTGAGGCTTGAGATTCCGAAAGAAAAGAAAAGATAGTGCAAGTCGTCTTCTAAGTTTTCAAAACATTTATCTGCATTAATATGGGTCATGTGACGATCAGAACATGCATGCGGAAGATTCTGAATAAGAAAATACATTTAAGTTACCTCTTGCGGAAGTTCTTTGCTTAAGAGCTTCTTTCCTAACTTAAACCTTCATTGACCAATGAAATTTTCTTGAAATCAAAAAATTTGTTATTTGGAAATTTGAGCCGGAGACGTCTTGCCTCGCGCCTCMCAAGTAGAACAAGTGAACACAGGAAACCCACAAAACAAATTCCCCACCTCTCTCCCCCACCAGTTGATTTTTGTCGTTTTGAAGGGAAGTTCCATCAAAGATGGCCGACATGAGCTTGTTCTGTAGACCTCGACAATTCTTTGATTGATGGGCTTCGTGCTCCAATGAGTACCACAATGGACTTACGTATTTCCGCTGATGCTGACATAAAGCGACTACGGGAGATGGTACARAAGCTAGAGGAGAAAAATGCCGCTATAAAAACCCCGGAGAGTCCCCGACTWGGTAGCGAACAGTCGTCTAGTTCGAGCCCTGTATCCAAATATAAGAGCGAAAAAATGAGCTCTAGTCCTGTTCTAGAGAGAGTTGCTGTGAGATTACACTTAGATGATGTTCCTTTAATGAATTTGAGTGATGCTGACTCCGAAGARGAAGATTCATGGTAAGTTTTTTTCATATTCGACATGTGAAATGCAAAAATTCGATTTGTTGATAAGTTTTTGTCGTTTATGATTGAAAACTGTCATCATTATTGTTGTTTATTTGAAGTTATAATTGTGTTGAGTTTATTAAGGACTTGTCSTCGATCCTACGTAGGGTATCTCATATCTAAAGCCTTATAAGTAGTTTTAATAATTCAAATATTCCAGGCTAGGATACATTTTCAAATCAATCACTGATCTGTCAATAAATTGCTGCTAAATATTTCCTGGGRGTTTTTATATAATCTAATTATAATTAAATCGATATTAAAGCTAATTATATTACCGGTATAATGTACACAAACTTGGACATACACTGTAAGTATGTTTGATTATATCATTTGTTGTGATAGTGACGTTTTGTATTATACTTGCTAAATACAATGTTATAATTTCTGTTTTCATTTCGAATAGTATTATTTTTTCCCTTTCAATTAATAATCTTGCAGACATGTTGTCTGAATATGATACAGCAAGGCCAAAATTCATTATGGTCATGATACTGTACCTTGAATTATGGATACATTATTGTGTGTTTTAATCTTCCCTCTGGGGTTTCATTAAATTTGGAAGTGGATGGCTGTACTGAAAAAGTAACCATATGTGAATTATAATTAGACCACAAGCACAACTAATTCAATTGTGAAAATTAGTCTAATTCGCAAATGCTCATTTTTGCTGGTTGCCAGCTTCTAATGAAATCCCTGCTCTTACGTTTTTCTCTTTAATACTCTATTAGAATTTGGTGGACATGCTAGTGGTGTAATGTTTCTCATTGAAATACATGTATGCTATATCTCTGTTTCTTTTCTTCACATGGAATTGGAAAACTCTTTAAAAATCACTTGCATATTCTCATATCATCTACAACTTTTTTCATAGGCAATTACAGGCCTTTTTTCACTTTTTAAGTAAGCAGGGATGGTTAAGAATATGCATGCCACTTACACAAATGTCAAAATCAGTAAACAGAGAATTTTGTTTGTTTGTTGTTTTTTTTTCGGTAAAGGAAACTGTGTGGAGGCAGAAAATTAAGACCTTCTGACTTCTGCTTTTTTAACCAATTCTCCTCAGACCCTCTCAGACCCTCTCAGACCCTGCTTACTTGGTCCTAATTAGCTATAAGGAACACCAAACAGATTTAGCAAGTAATTTTTGAAGAGGCAACCGCCCCTCCCCCCCCAAAAAAAAATAATAAAAAGTAATTATATATATAGTATAATTTGTAAACTGGAAATCCAGCTTACTAACAAATAATATAATTTTCAGACCCTCTCAGACCCTGCTTACTTGGTCCTAATTAGCTATAAGGAACACCAAACAGATTTAGCAAGTAATTTTTGAAGAGGCAACCGCCCCTCCCCCCCCAAAAAAAAATAATAAAAAGTAATTATATATATAGTATAATTTGTAAACTGGAAATCCAGCTTACTAACAAATAATATAATTTTATTAAGGTTGTATACATCTTCAGTCCATCCTCCAACACCAGCTCAAAAGTCTCTGTCCCCGTACAAATACCTAAAACAGAGTATAGACCATCAGAATGATTTGAATAAAGTTAGAGGSTCTTTAATGGCCAAACTTGAATCAATAGCTGCCCAAGAAGGTTAGTTTATTGTTTAGAGATACTTGTTTTTCTAAATATGGGTGGGAAACCTAGGAAGAGGTGATTACTTATTGGGAAGAGGGAGCTACAAATATTGGATGGGTCAGAGATATTTACATGTTTGTATGAGTAAGCTTCATTTAAATATTTTTTACGTGGAAGAATCATCAAACATTATGCATTATACCTTTCAGCTCCACTTGTCTCTCTCTCCCCTCCTGATAAACCCAGCCTGATAAATAATGTCCAAGAATGATTCAAATTTATAATTATTATTTTGCACGGGCTTTGATATCATAAATTGTTAATTCATGAAGATTGTATTTTTTTGTCATTTAGAATCATTAGCCAGACATGATGCTCCACCAAAAGAAACTAGCACATCAAACTTGAATAGGACTTATGATGTTCATGAAAGATCAAGTAATCATTATGATGATGATTTAGAACCACTAGAAATAAGTGGTAGTGATACATGTAAGAGCATTATTAATTTATCAATAATCTATTTATTTGTTTTGATAAATGTAATATTAGTAAATGTCTTCACTATTAGATCCTATAAGAAGAAGAGGAACACCATCTAGACCACCACAAAGTAAGCACAAACTACTCATAGAGCACTTATTCAGGCTTCATAATAGATCAGTTACATGTACCTACATCAAGTTTAATTGACAATGTTTTTAATGACATCACTGCACGTGATTATGGATATAGACAATATGCATGATGTATGGTTATGTTGTATGCATCAATCATAGCAATAAAGCACCTGGCAATGAACTAGTAGGTTTATGCATCCATATATAACGTGATAAGAAATTGGACAGATCAAAAATGTTGGCTGCAGTTTGTTTCACCGGATTTGATTGACATTGAGCCAAAATAGGGGAAGTTTGATACTGTAAGATAATATATTTATTAATAATTACAAAGTATTACAAGGTCATGAATCCCGCACACAAGCACAAGCACTCAACAGTCCTCTACGCCATCAGTCATACGTGATATCACGCAATAACGAATCCACTGTTCTTACAATACCATTTTTCTACTGTCAAGTGATCACATTAACATTATTTTCATATGTTAATAGTGTTGGATTGACCTTGTTTGAGCATTGAAATAGAAAGCATAACATTTCTTTAAGGTCATATGATATATATATGTGGTATGTGTCTAGACTTGTGGCAGGTGATTAATTTATGTCAAGGTTAAGTTTGGTGTCTAGTTTGGTTGACAAAAAGTCAAATTAACAGAAGTTTCATTCAATTTCCAAACAGTCTCATGACATCGGATATAATATGGTGTTGTAAAATGAATGACTGAACTGATCTCTGGTTTGATTGATAATTAGAAAAAGCCTTTTACTAAATGATTTTTAATCAATGTGTTTCCTGTAGCTAAATTGTACAGACCATGGGAGAATCTGTCTCTTGGTGATGATGATGATGACGATGATGACCAATCAATGGAAGGTAATGTAGTTTTCTTAATCCAATTACAAATGTATTTTGTGATTCTTTGGTTTTTTATTTGCTTCATCGTAAATGAAAATGATAGATAAAAATATTTAAATCCATACATTGTACTTTATTCTTTACAGCTCCAATAGTTCGAAGAGGGACATTTACAAAGCCTGTTGCACGTAGAGGCCAATCCCCAAGTAAGTTCAATAATAAATGCTCTAAATTGTACAGTATAAGTAGATAAGATTATACAATTATAACAATGATGTGAATGCTATGCYTAATTATTTCAACTGACTGAAAGATCTATAGATAAGAATATCTATAATCATGAAAAACATTAAAAATATATGAGCCATTCTTTGAAAAATTGATGAACTTGATTGATTTGAGCTTGTTGCATGATGTACATTGTACATTGGTATTTGTTTCATATTTCCTGAACATGCACATCTACTAAATTCTGTTATAAACACCAGAAAAAGTGATTTTTTATTCATCGACAAGTCACTCCYCATTAAAGTATTTTTTGGAGATGGCAGCTGTAAAAATTAAAATGTCTCCTGTCAYATACTAGGATCACAAGATGACGTTGATGCAGGTGTAGTGAGGCCAAGAGGAAGGAGTGCAATAGAGACAMCTGGAAGTGATGATGAAGATTTTGATAGTGGTMAGTATAGCATAGCCATACAGTAAAAACCCGCATATAAGAACAAGTGGATTAAGAACACCCAGGCCTGATTTTAGGAAATAAAATACCATTTATATAAGAACACATTTAGCCTGAAAAATGAAAGTTGTTCTTATATGGAAAAATATCAAAGATCAAGACTACTTTTCATTGCACACATAATAGTTCCACCCCAATCATATGTAACAAAATATTGAACATAATAAAATATGTACTGTTATATTGATTTCATCTATTGGTAGCAACACTTATAAGAACACTTATAGGTTGATTTTGCAGATTATAACCCTTTATATAAGAAACAAATCAGCCTTAACCACCAAAATAGGTGTTCTTATATGCGGATTTTTACTGTAATGAATGACAAATGTAAAAAAATTGTATTTGACATTAGTATCTCTTACATCTCTACATTACAAGTACTATACAGTTCATGTAGATGAACTGTGAAAAGTCCTTTAAGTAGCATTCATTGTATTAATTTTTTCAGCTCCAATTGTAAGACGACGAGGACCCAAAGCAGCAGTAACTCCTCCTGGTATGTATACTTAGATTGTTGTTGTGTTATTATAATTTGCCGGTTCACTCATCTTTAACAACACCATAACTATTCCTAATCTTGTCAATACATTAATCAGTCCATCCGTTCATCCATGTTTTTATTCTTTCATTCATCCAGTCTGTATGTCCATCTGCCTGTCAGTCAGTCACTCAATCATTTAACAATCTGTTGATTCATCCTTTTCTTCATCCATTTGTCTTGCCATACTTTTATTATTATTATTTTTTATTCGTTCATAAAACTGATTATTTTCTTGTTTTCAGTTATGACCAGTGATGATATTCCTGTAGTCACTAAAGTCAGACCAAGAGGACAAGCAACACAGAGTCTTGCTGTTACTGTTCCTAGTGATGATGATGAAGATGTTGAATTAGATGGTATGTCTAAATAAACCTCTGAAGCTTTTACGCCATGTACCGTATTYTTYGTTTTCAGGCTACGTCACAGCAACCATCTTGGAGGAACAAAGGATTTCTCAGTAGTATCTATTGTTCATTCCTCCAACATGGTCTCCAGTCTTTTATTTTTTGAATCTCATGGGAATGGGTGAAAACGATCAATACGCAATACATTGTAGGATATACGGTTTTGGACAAAACATGGCGGATTTCTTTTGTTTTCTCCAGAAACTGATCCTATAAGTGGATCAAGTAGGTGACATAAAATCTTCAGAAGTCTAAAAATTGTCAAAGTTTCCTTTTTTCAAAAAAAATTACTTTTAGCAGTGGTCAACCGGTATTACATACGAGCTTTCGTTTTTGCTTGGAAATAAATATGAAACAATTTATATGGAAAACGTTCTCTTTATTATCCCTTTATGCTCTATAAAGGAGATACCTGACTGATGGTTACTGTAGTGAATTGCAAATGRATATTTCTAGTCAACTCATTTTCCGTATGTGAGAAATCTAAAAAAAATCACCATATAGGGTGCTGGTTGACCGCGGYCCTTTCATAGGTTTTGAAAACAATGTTTTTTATTGTATAGCTCCTGTGGTTCGAAGAAGAGGRGCGGGGCCATCTGGGCCTGTAGCAAGAAGTAGTATAGGTGAGTAAAATAAAAAGAAAATGTGCTCATTCGGCCATTTCTTATACGTTATAAATGCGACGAAAAAATCAGTGGTGTACCCGTTAATCTTATGTGTTTTTCATTTCATTTTGGTTGCTCACCCTCCACTCATTCATATCTTTTTCATTTTCTTTCCCATTCACGTTTTAATTGATTCATTGATTTTGCTTTCTTTTATTTATTCTTACATTTAGGATCACCACAACTCGCATGGCAGGGTGATAATGATGATGAAAACATGGGTCCAGTGCGCCCACGAAGGCGTGGAACCCCTAAAAACGACGATGACGATGCTGACTTTGATGGTATGTTTTTTCGGTATAATTCAATAGACTATGTGAACATCTAATTAAAAAGCAAAAGAAACAAACACGTCAACTTGAGAGAGTCTACCTTAGTTCATCGAAGCTAAGACCGCAAAGAATCATGGGATTCCACAATTATAAACCCGACCATGTTTTTGCAGCATCCCTTTTTCGTTCTAAAGTTGAGTCAAGAAAGTTTTTGCAAAGCTGTCGAGCTTTCTTAAATCTAGATTTATATTCGTAGTTCCGGTTGTTAGAAGACGTGGGCCTCCTTCTCCAAGACCGGCAGACGATAGCTTAGTCGTGACGACAGGTTTGTAGAGCAGAGTCACATGAACCATGAAATAAGAACTAAAAAGTACTAACTAATAGGGACTATTAGTTCCTAATAGTCGTTAGCACTGAACCAGAACAGTTTATTTTATCCAATAAGCAACACCCAAGGGACCACTTTAACAATCAAAGTAATCTCTTTGTCCTGTTCTGGTTCAGTGATAGTGTCTAAATAGTGCCTATTAGTAACTAAGTATTTAGTTTCTATTTCATGGTTGAAGTGACTCTGCTCTAGTAGATTTGTATCCACAACACATACCTCTTATATCGATAATTGATGATTTCTGTAGTTGCTTTCTTTATTGTTCATTCTCTTCTATTTATTCATGATCCCATTGATTTGCGCGGGCGCTTTCAAAAGTATCGCAGGCGCGAACATGACAACCAGGTATTTTCGGCTGGCCATATTTTTGAAAGCGCCTGCTCTWCTCGGTAATCGTTTATTTATACTGCATTTCYTATCCAAGCAATGGAAATTCAATGAGTTATACCACTAGAGTCAGATCGTAGTAGTGTTATTTCAGTCGCTTCTTGCAAATSAGTGCTTAGTAGGAGACTACGTCTAAACGTACAGGGAACTAAATTTAGGAGTGCGAGTGCAGAAAAAACGCTTCGAATTCGAATATGTATAAACAATATTGCAGATACAAACGGGCATCATGTATTTTACATTTTGCAGTTCGTCGACGTGGAGCGCAGCAAGACGGACATATCCGACCGAGAGGATCTGGGTTACCTTCACCTTCACAAGGAGGAATTCCAAGTATGCATTTTCTAATTATACTGTGTAGATCAAGCCTCATTAGCTATAGTCATTGCCGGATTTCAAACCGTGGGGGACTRGGCAAAATCCCCTAATTGGGTAATCATGACATAAGACTTACATAGAAAGAAAGCCCTTGTTGACAAATGCAAAATTCCAAAATTTGATGTAAATCAGTCCAATAGTGAGCGAGTTACAGCCTTTCAAATATTCTAAAATTTCCAAAGAAATGTATGGAAAGCCATGAATGTGTCCGGAAAATGGTCAAAATTCGGACACATTTGCGGCTTCCCATACATTTCTTTGCAAATTTTAGAATTTTTGAAAGCTCGTAACTCGTTCACTATTGAACCGATTGACACCAGATTTTGGAATTTTGCATTTCTCAACAAGGGCTTTCTTTATATTTAAGTCTTATCTCGTGATTATCCAATTAGGGGATTTTGCCCAGTCCCCACTCGGTTTGAAATCCGGCAATTACTGCATTTTTATACTCGTTCTCATTCCCCTTTGTCGTTAAAATCAAGCATGAATATAAGGGAAGTATGAGGAGTTGTCTKCGGAGGGCGCTTATCTCAATTCGCGACTCGCAAACATTGTGAACCATATCAGATATGTTTATGTTTTATTTCGTCCATCTGCAGGGAGGATTGAGGCTTTATATTAATAACCTTTAAAGAACTATTTCTGTTACCACGGCTATAATAATTTCAATTAAGCAATAAGATGGGATAAAGTTTAAGTGCAAAAGAATAATTYCTCTTCTTTTATTTCACTTCGTTTCTTATTCTGAACTATTATGAGATAACGTTAAATCTTCGTCTACAGCCACCATCTTGATAAAACAGCATGCAAGTAAAGCTGTTCTTAATTATTGACGAGAACAAAAAGGTCGGCCATTTGATCATAATTTATATCGCATCTTATCTAAAGTGTGCGGCTGACAGATGCTGTTTACTTGATCGTAACAGTCATTCCCTCCCCTTTTCCCATTCCATTATCTTTTGAACTGCTGATCGCTCGCTGTTCTCATTTCTCRTGTAGTTATTATTCGAAAACTCGAATTACTCCCTTTCATTCGAAGAAAAAAATCGTTTTGAATTTTTTCCTCTAATCTTCTTTTTTCTCTTGACATTATTAATTTATGTTCGTTCAGTTTTCCTGTATTTCCCATTTTTGTTATTGGTCATTCAATAATCGACCTCTTGTAGCTTCATGCACGTCGAGAGGACAAAACTAGACAATCAGGATTCTTGTCTAAGCGCCTTGTAATTTTCTAGTTCTTTTCGCCTGAATCTTTTCAGTCCCGTGTTTTTTTTATTCATTCGTTTTTCATTCATTCATTAATAGTTTATTATTTATTCTCTTTATTCAGCTCCAGGTAAAAAATCCACGCCGGCATCACGACTAAGAATGTCTCTCGACACTGAAGTTAAAAGACGAAGTTTACCGCAAGTTCCATCAGATAGCATGATGGTACATCCACGTATCTCGGGTTCCAGTACTCCACCAAGAGTGCGTTCWTCATCACCTGCCGGGGGCGTGGTTCCACGTGGTAGCAAATTAGYAGCGCCAAGGTATTTTGACTTGTTTCGCCCGCAATCCACGTTGATTTAATGATTGGTTATCTGACTAATCGATTCATTTGTTGGTGGGTGGATTAATTATTTGCGTGGTCGTACAGGCAGAGTTTCGTCTGAGCACATGAATCGGAATTAACCATTGACAGCGACGCCATTTTGTGCAGCAAAGCATGATGGCTTTTCATGTCCGCTGAAACAATCCTCCTAATGTTTTTTTTTTCTTTTTAAAAATAGAGGTAGTTGTGCTCTATCTACAAAGATAAATAAAGGGTATTGTCCTATTGCATTATGACGTCACATCAAAACATTCTATTGTTTCAACAAAAGGAATTATGGTCGCCAGAAGTGACCGCATATCAAATAAAATGTACAGCATCAATAATGCATGACATACATCAAAACGCATA